GAAAAACCAGCCTTCCCCTTTTCTTCCTCCTCCTCCTCCTCCTCCTCCTCCTCCTCCTCTTCTTCCCCTTTCAGCTGTCCTCTATTTCCTGCTGCAAGTCAGCTTCCTGGTCGACGAAGGTGTTTCGCCCGTCCTCCTGCAGCTGCTCTCCTGCGCCCTCTGTGGCAGCAAGGTCCTCTCTGGGTCGGCTTCGGCCGGCTCCTCAGGCACAACGGTCCCCGGAGGGTCCAGCTCAGGCCAGCCGTCCGGCCAGAGCAAATCCTCCACCAAGAAGAGCAAGAAGGAAGACAAGGAGAAGGAGCGAGAGGGTGAGAGGCTGTTGAGGCCTTTGGGCTGCGGGTGGGCAGGGGACCCGCGGCCCTCCGAAGGTGGCCAGCAGCCGGCAGCGCCATGGCCTGAGCCCTCTTGAATTCTCTCCCAGGGGACGGCTCCTCGGGCAGCCAGGAAGACCAGCTCTGCACCGCCCTGGTGAACCAGCTGAACAAATTCGCCGACAAGGAGACGCTGATTCAGTTCCTGCGCTGCTTCCTGCTGGAGTCCAACTCGTCGTCCGTGCGTTGGCAGGCCCACTGCCTGACTCTGCACATCTACCGGTGAGTAGGACAGCCCTGAGCTAAGCTGAGCTCCACCCGTCTAGGTCCCCGGAGCCGCCTTCCTTCCCCCTGGGCTGAGAAGAGGAAAGCACCCCGAAAGGGACCGTTTGCTTTAAAAAATGCTGTAGAATATGGAGATCGAAGGACAAAGAGGGAGAATCCGATAAAGTCTAAGCTTGGCCACTTTAAGACTTGTGGTTTCAACTCCCAGAATTCCCTAGCCAGCTTGGATGCTTTTGAGACTTGTGGCTTCAACTCCCAGAATTCCCTAGCCAGCTTGGCCGCTTTTAATACTTGTAGACTTCCATTCCCAGAATTCCCCAGAAACTTGGCCGCTTTAAGACGTGTGGACTTCCATTCCCAGAATTCCCCAGAAACTTGGCCGCTTTAAGACTTGTGGTTTCAACTCCCAGAATTCCCTAGCCAGCTTGGATGCTTTTGAGACGTGTGGCTTCAACTCCCAGAATTCCCTAGCCAGCTTGGCCGCTTTTAA